AACTGCAGCGTTCATTAGAGTGTTGGCTTGAATTTGTTCAGAAGTATTTGGGTGAGGTATGAATTCAAGGATGCACAACTGTTTTTCTTCTATCATTTAGAATGTATTCTCTATATGCCTTGATATCACTATCTACTTTGCTTGTTGGCTCGATAACTGCAACACTGGTGTTGTTGATGGATAGTTTTAATCTCTTTTGCAGAGTTTTGAATAGATTTTACCTTGTCTGGTTTGGTAATAATTGCCTATTTTCTAGTTATAATATCATTTTTGTTTGTTATCCTTCAGGGTCCACGAATGGTTCGTGATGTTTTCCGTCTTGCCAAAGAGAATGCTCCTGCAATTATCTTTATAGATGAGGTAGATGCTATTGCCACTGCTAGGTTTGATGCACAAACTGGTGCTGATAGAGAGGTTCAGCGTATCCTCATGGAGTTACTGAATAGGTATGACTGAATTACACAGTGGAATTCAATGATTTCCTTAATGGATGTTGTTGGAAATTAATCATGAAAATATTATCCCCAAAAACGTGAGAAAAAATATAGGAAATGATTTATAATTTTTTTTTTTAATGACTTTTTTTTGTAATTACTGCTATTCTAGATGGATGGGTTCGACCAGACAGTTAACGTAAGGTTATTATGGCCACCAATCGTGCTGACACTTTGGACCTGCACTCTTACGTCCTGGGAGGCTTGATAGAAAAATGAGTTCCCTTGCCTGATAGACGACAAAAGAGGCTCGTTTTTCAGGTAGTTGCATAGTTGGTGTGCACGTTCCCATTTGTAAAGTTTTATAATTAGTCGTTATTTTGTCTAGTGTGAGGATTAATTTTCCTTGCCCCTGTTGTGCTGTGCATTATATGTCTAATCTACTTTATGATGGCTGGGTGTCTACCAGGTTTGCACTGCTAAAATGAACCTAAGTGATGAGGTGGACTTGGAGGATTATGTTTCTCGACCTGACAAAATCAGTGCTGCAGAGGTTGGTTTCAATTTTCTTATAGAAGCTCATTATGCTATGGAAAGTAACTTGTGTTACGATTGCAGTTGACTCCGTCTAGCAGGAAAATCTTTTTAGCTTTTTGCATGTTTCTTTCTTCAATGTCACATAACAAAACCATTTAATCTACTCTACTAAGAGTCACTTGAACCTTCTCTTTATCTTCAAAGCTTTGGTGTTAATAGTCACAGGATATTTCTAACACTACTACTTTAAGCAAGCGGATTGCTCGTGTTACGTTGTTCATTCCTACTCTTTGACAGAATTACTTGGTTTTCCTGTAAGAAGCCATTACCTAGAATAGGGGAATGTAACTCCTTTTACCATGTCAAGTGTTTGGCATTGCAACTGTAGCAAAAGCTGTGATTTGATACAGAAAGTGTTTACAGCAGATGTGCTGTGGTCAAAATTATTTAAAGCCAGTATACTTGCTGCGGAACCATGATCTTTTTCCTTTTATTTGTTATTCTTTGTTAGAATCGAGACCAATGTTGAGATGATGACCTATGCTTAAATGGCTGGTTGGTAAATCTTTAAAAAACCAGACAGTTGATGAAGAGTTATTGGGTGGGGACAGGTTTGGGCTCTAGCTCATTAGGTTCATTTTATGTTTTAGAATATGATCACGATATCAGATACATCTAATTAACCAATTTCTTTGTGGTTTTTGACTACTACAGATTGCAGCTATTTGTCAAGAGTGGAATGCATGCAGTACGCAAGAACCGGTACGTCATACTCCCAAGGACTTTGAGAAGGGTTATCGAACCAATGTGAAGAAACCTGACACTGACTTTGAATTTTACAAATGAAGAGGCCAGCAGTGCACAGAATAGTAACTGCTTATGTTTGTTAAATTGTTTTGGTCAAAATTAACCTTCTTGTTATTACAAGAACCGGTATATACAAGGACTCCGTGATAGGTCCTCCAGTAGACTTTGTTGAACAATATTCTAATATGCAGAAGTGTTGTATGGCCAAAACTTGTTATTCATTTCTCTGATGACTACAGAAGGTATCGAGCGAATGCTATGATGAGGCCCATGATTTATTTATTCGAAAAGGAGAAAAAAAGAAACATCAGTCACAAAATGGCTTTTTTTTTTTTTTTTTTTATTTGATGAATGTTTTTTTTTCTGAATTAATGATTAGCGGTTGTGTTTGTCTAATGTTTGAGCCGTATGCATTGTGGAGCATGTTGAACTATCGCTCTTCTCTTCGGCTCTGAATGGCAGACAAGCCAAACATTGATAGCCTAATGATGCTGGCGCGTTGACCTGATAACTGTCATGTCAACTGTTATTGGATTGTGAGGAAGATGCAAGAAGTGGTGTAAGATAGTATTGTGAATTAAAGATTAAAAAGTTGGAGTGTATGTGTGTTTTTTTTCTAAATTAATAATAATGTGGATTTAATTATGATTTGTTTGTTAGTATTTCTGAAACCTGAGGGGGGTGAATGACATCAAATTGGAACTGAGAAATTATGTGGGCTAATATGATTTCAAAAAGAAAAATGTTTCAAGAATAACAAAAATAATAATAAGAGGGTACACCAAAGGCCTCTGCCTTCTATTATTTCAACTCTTTGACAAGACGAAAAAAGCAAAAGAGAGTTCGATCCTGCTAGTCAGTATGAACGATGGCAGCATGTTTAACACATTCATCAATAATATTAAGTAATCCAGAGTTAAAACTCAGAATTTCTAGGAAGCTGCTGGACAAATGCAGCTTAAATGTGTAAACAGGAAGATAATTTACAATCAGCAAACTAATTAACCGATCTTTTCTCTTTTTTCTTTTTCTTCAATATCTTTTTCTGCTAGTGTTTTCAATTTCTGTTTTTCCGTTCTTTGGCTTTCTCTTCGAATCCATCGCCACGACTTCATTGTCGGACTCGTCTGGCCTTGTAGACCTGCAAAAGTTTCAATGCTTAAGCAATTTGGAATGCTGTCAAGATACAGTTACCAATGTAGTCTTTGAAGAGATATTTTCTACCCTAGTATCAGAAAGAACATCTTTCTCTTTGCATTCAAATTCTTCTAGTTGTTTCCGATAACAGCTTCTATTTCATGAACGAGATCTACATCATTCTGCAAAATTCCCAGGTCTCCCAGGTTAAGTGAAATAAGCATGATTTAGAATTACCGATCTCATGGTTCCTTAGAGCTATGCAGAAACTCAAAAGTAAAAAAATTCAATTCATAGACCTCACCGAGCACTTCATGCATTGAAGGATTCATCTAAGTAATAAGATTTAATTGGAAATTACATGAAGATTTGGTGAATGGTCAACGTCAATAGGATGGTGAAGATTAATTTTAAGAAACTCGAATATCCCCTCTAGGAATGACCGTACTCACTTGGGTAACGAAGCTCACAGCAAGCCCCATCTGCCTGCTCTTGCAGTACGCCCCACACGATGAACATAATCTCTCGGGTATCTAAATGGTCTGATTGTCAGATTCTACATCATGAAGATTATAGACAAGAAAATGTAAAATAGAATATAACCTGGAATATTAATTTACACAAGATCGACTGTAGGAATGTCCAAACCACGACTGGCAACATCAGTGGCAAGCAATAAGTAGCTTGTCCTGATTTAAATCGATGAAGTGCAGAAAGCCTTGAAGACTGGGATTTGAATGAATGCAGTGCTGCAGTTCCTGTTCCAGTTCTTCCAGTAATAAACTTAAGAGGGGACAACTTCGTTACAACGGTTAAAACTAAATGTAAGAAAGAGCCTGACTCAGTAGAAATACAAATTTTGGAAAATGAAGTAAAAAATTGCCAAAGAAGAGCATTTTATTCCTAACAGAAGTAAACATCTCGTCACATTAAAGCTCCAAAAAAGATATAAACCAATCTTGCAGAAGTTAGATCGAGTAATTCAACCTAGCAAGATGACAGAGATAAACCGAATACTCCAAAACTAGGAAGAGTTTACTCAAAGATTAAGCTGTAATGCTAAAATGAATTGATACCTGCAGGTGGAGACAAATATGATGCAGAGCGAACACCCATATCTTCCATCTTAGACAAAATGTGCACAAGATAAACATCCTTCACATTTTTTGGGATAAAAATATATTGTGTTTAAGAGTCTCAACTGTCTTGAAGCTTCATATGCTCCATAGAAGTATGCCTTGTTTGCAGAAAGCTCTAGCCGTGTCTGTAAGTCACTAGTCATTGTGCAGAAAATAAGAGTGTCTGCCTATTCTTGGCAAGCACTGGAAAACTACTCTTAACTCCTCTTCAAAGCCAGCATCCAAAACTCTATCTGCTTCATCCAACACCAGAAACTGGACACAGTATAAAAGAATACAAATGAGTAAATTTCGGCAAATCGCAAAAGGAAGAAATGCTACACCCATTCTCGGAAACACATACAGAACCTAGGTAGAGTAAGACACACAAACAAAAGACTGTGTTGAAATTCTCCGGCCTTCTTTCCTTCAAACAAGAGAAAATCAAAGTAAGATTTTAACACCATTCCTCTGACACCTCTTGACTTAAACCACTCCCAAAACCCCCGGTGAAAAAAATGGACAGCAGCTATGTAATACTTCATGACCCCACTTCTAAATTCTCTACTAAGCCTTTCAGTCTCCCTATCAGGATGACGAAATTGAAATCAACAGATCATTAAATAACAATGACACCAATAAAAGTTACTACTAATGAACAACTACATGTCCAACAATTTCTACAATGGAACCACTACATAAACACCGAATCCAAATTCTACATGAAACTTATGAACACACGTACCTTGGTTCTAGAAAACACCTGAGGAATATCAGGATCCTCCTCAAGCAAGACCTTAATCCTGCCAGGAGTAGCAAAACCACATGGGGTCTATTCATTAAACCCTTGGCTTGGTTCAACATATCCATGCCTCCAACCACCACCTCACACCTCAAATGCAAGAAGAACCCAAAGCTTAAACTGCTCAGCCAGCTGAAACGCCAGCTCCCTCGTCGGCGTCATCACCAACGCCAACACCCCGTACGGCTCCTCCGCCAACCGCTGCAGTATCGGCAGCGCAAATGCCGCCGTTTTCCACTCCCAGTCTGGCGCCAGACCCAGAACGTCGCGGCCCTCCAAAATTTTCGGAATGCAGTGGGCTTGGACCGGTGTAGGCCGCCGATAACCATGCCTTGCAGTCTCAACGGCCCAATCGGCTAGACCCAGGTCGGCGAAAGTGGTGGTTGCGGTAGCGGCGGCGGTAGTAGAATTAGGAGTTGAACTGTAAACTTTTCAAGTTGTGGGGGTTCATTGGTGAGTTAGGGTTCCTGCTCTTGAGTAGTTTGGGATATGGGTTTGGGTTTAGGTTTGGTTTTGGATTTGGAGAAGAGAGGGAAGTTTTCATCAACAAGGGAATCTTGTTCCCTGTTAGGAGCTGTTTGGATGGATGGGAAATCAGAGAATAAATAAACTTTGCCGAGAAATTTCTAGAAATCTTGTCTTGAAGTTTCAAACTTAAAGGTTGAAGCTTTTCTTAAATTCGGCTAAGTGAAAAACGAAGAAGAACGAAGGCGTTTGTCGGTTAACCGGTAACGTAGGTTAGCTTCTATCTTCATAAAATTACTTATTAACCCCTATAAACTTTTTCAAGGACCATTAGTTTCAGAAAAAAACAGAAACATCCCTCAAGTTATCAATATTATTTTATGGAAAATTTATAGGGGTGTTCGGTTCCGGGTACCCTACACTTTTTGAAGGAACCGAAACGGAACTGGAACCGACGGTTCCTTGAATTTGGAACCAGAACCGGAACAACGGTTCCGGTTCCTAGGTACCCAGAACCAGAACCTGTAACAACAATTCCGGTTCCAGTTCTGGGTACCCTGTAAAATTCATGACCCCCCAAAAGTTTTTAAAATGGCAAAAAAACCTTTAAAAATTACAAATACCCCCCACCTGGCACTTGTTACAAAAATAAAATTACAAATTATAAATCAAAATTACAAACTCCGTTACTTTGTAAAGGTAGATTCTCAAAAGTCAAACCAACTTACTTTAAATGTTATGAAATATAAATATAAATGTATCACATTACTTTTTCTAAAAAAAATTTTATATAACTCCCCTAATCTTTAATTTTATTTTATACTAGTCTCGATTCGGTTCCTGGTTCCAGTTCTGGTTCCTAACTATAGGAACCGGAACCGGAACCGCCACAGTACGGTTCCAAAAATTTGGAACCGAAACCTACCCATTGACGACTGGTTCTGGGTAGGAACCGGAACCAAACCCAGGGTACCCGCCGGTTCCGGTTCCAACGGTTCTTTTGAACACCCCTAAAAATTATACGTATAATATTATTATTTTAAGACAAATGAGTGTTCATAAGATTTTATTGTTATGAAAAAATTTTAGAAGTTTATGATTTTCTTATGACACCATATGTTTCCAATTTATTACTCCCTAAGCTTTGAATTTTTTATAACACACACCCTTTGACCATGACTAACTGGCCCGCCAAGTGGAAAAACAGGTAAATGAGGTAATCCCATTTCGTAATGTGACTGCAATCGCCACCATAAAATGGAAAAGACAGTAAAAACTAAAAGTATAAGAGAAAGAGCACAAAAAGAGAGCGAGAGAAAGGGATTTGGTAGTTGTTAGTGAAGATGGAGTCACCATTCAAGGCGGATATAGTGAAGGGCAAAGTTGCCCGATAACAGGAGGTGGTTCAGGAATCGGGTTTGAGATTTCAACAATTCGGTAAACATGGAGCCTCCATTGCAATATGGGACGTCGCAAGCCAGTCCTTGATTCTGCGTTTCTACTCTTCAATCTCTTGGGATTAAGTATAATTAATATCTTGTCTTGAAAATTTTCTCATTTTCGTATCTGGGTTCAATTATGTTTTAGCCTTTTGTGTTTACATGTTTATCATTTATATTTGTTGCTTGTCATCAAAGAAGGGTTTTCCATCTGGGCTATTTATTTTTGTGTCACGTGTCTCTCAATTTGTTGGTTTTTAATTGCAGAGGAAGCTGCTATGCCATATGAATTCATTTTAATTCTATGTTTCATTTTCATTTTGTTGTTAAAAAAGTAATTGTTTCTCTGGTTCTCATATAAATTTCTCATTTTTCTTATCCGGTTCATCTATGTTTTTGCTTTATTTATTTATTTATTTTTGTTTAAATGCGCATTTATCATTTGCCTTTCTTGTTTGTCATCAAAGAAGTGATTTTTCATCTTCTGTCTCTTTCTTGTGGTTTGTTGCTTTTGATTTGCTGAGGGAGTTGGCTTCATATATGGGTTCATTTTCATTCAATGTTTCATTTGCATATTATTTTATTGTTCGTGAAGTGATTGCTTATCTGGTTCTTTTTTCAAGTTGTCCTTATAGAGTTATGGGTTGATTTGGCTGAGAAATTTCAGTTGAGTTCATTTTGTTTTGGGAATTTTCTCGACTATGCCTCTGTGGTTTACCATGAGAATTATAAGCATGTTATAGTTTTTGTCTAGTTTTATGTATTCTACAATTTAATTGCTGGGGATTCCCAGTCCTTACCTAACAGAAAAGGAGAAAAGTCTGGGAATCTTGATAAGTCCTTCAATTACTTGGTTCAGTTCGCTAGTTTGGGTTCACCTGGTTGCAATCGCTTTAGCTTCTAATAGTAGCCATGTTAGCGATGTTACTCACATCATGGTTGATGTTTAGTGCCAATCAGCTGATGTTTGTCTGATTTGTTAGATTTGTTATTTGATGTGATGCAGTTTAACACATTTTTATTTTTCCATTTAGTTGATTATAGGATTCATGATTATGTTACTTTTGCTCTTGTTCTCAAGGCTGTAGGCTTTGAGGGGGATGTTCGCAAGCAGGAAGAAGCAAAAAGAGTTGTGGAATCAACTTTCAAGCATTTTGGGAGGCTTGACATTCTTGTAAACGCTGCAGCTGGCAATTTTCTTGTATCAGCTGAGGATTTGTCTCCTAATGGGTTTCGAACAGGTCGTGATTAAATTCTTACTACAATAGGGTTTATTGTCCCTTATTGTTTGAGGCAAAAACTAGAAGCAAGTGGGACAATATATCTAATGGAAGTGAGATGTATAAAGGTGAAGTCTTGAAATGACTTATGTTTAAACTGGGGAGAAGAGTATCCCAATGCCTTTACCTTGCTAACTTGAGAAAGAGATGGGATGGGATGAGTCAAGTAGGATTTATCCGAGCACCCACCCTCATCTTCTCCCTTTTCTGTCCAGAAATAATGTGTGGAGTCAAGTAGGGTTCATTGGAGGCCCAAAATGAACACTTGGCACAAATGATTAACCAAAACTTATCAACTATAGGCTCTTTTTGGTCTTCAGCTAAATGCAATTTTCTTTTTATCACCCTTGCAGTTATGGATATTGATTCTGTTGGCACATTCACCATGTGCCATGAAGCACTGAAATATCTCAAAAAAGGAGGACCTGGAAGAAGCTCATCTGGTGGAGGATCAATTTTGAACATAAGTGCTACTTTACATTACACATCTGCTTGGTATCAAATTCATGTTTCTGCTGCTAAGGTTTGCCACATAATTTGTTTCTTGCTGGTTGTGACGATTAGGTAACTTTAATGTTAATCTTCCTTATAATTTTCTTCCAACAGGCAGCTGTTGATGGCATTACTAGAAACTTGGCACTGGAATGGGGGACCGACTATGATATTCGAGTCAACGGAATTGCCCCAGGCCCCATTGGCGACACCCCTGGCATGAGTAAACTTGCACCTGATGAGATCAATAACAAAGCTCGAGAATACATGCCATTGTATAAACTAGGAGAGAAATGGGATATTGCTATGGCTGCTCTGTACCTTGTTTCTGATGCTGGTAATCTTGTTTGCTTTTTCAAGTATCCAGATATAAAACATCTGTAAGCAAATTATAAATTTTAATATTAAATCTTCATGCACCAATGAATTATACTATGATAGGTAAATTTTAGAATAATCGGCGTATGTTGCAAGTGTCTGATCATGTGCTCAATCTTAATAAATTCATATATATTGTGTTCAGAAAGTTAAATATGTTAAATCATTAAGTAGCTAAATTTTCTTTTTCTATTTTTTTTTTCCCGTTGAAACTAACCCACATTTACACATTTTTAGGTAAATATGTCAATGGAACCACCCTCATAGTTGATGGCGGACTTTGGCTGAGCCGGCCTCGCCATCTGCCGAAAGAGGCCATCAATCAGCTTTCGCGAGTGATGGAAAAGAGGTCTCGAGACAAACCTGTTGTGGTTCCAACCAGCAAGCTTTGAACCTCAACAATAAAGTTATGATCATAAATGGGTTTCATATCCATCCTTAGCTACAAATATGTAACTTATACTTCAATGGAGTCCTCAATATTTTGTTGATCACAGCATTGATAATCATTGAATAGCATTATATTATTGCATATGGAACTGGTATACACCATGGATTGCATTTGTATTTCTGTAGACAGATTGACAACCTTTCAAAATAATCAAATTGTTACACTTAAAACAATTTAATGGGAACATAGTTTATCAGAAACAAAACGGGGGTGAAACTGAAAAATGCTGATGTTCCTCAGGTTGAAATTTAAAGCCGGTGTCGATAGGCCTCCCTGCTTACAGTTAGTTATCAGGAGCTTCAACGAATTTACTCAAACGTGAATGTCAAAATTCTCTGTTTCTCAGTGGTTAAAAAACTTCAAGCAGAATTTGGCTGGTAATATCCAAAAATTGCCCACTAATGATAGTTCCGTAGCTTCCTCGAGGTAACTCCAATTTGATAGCAGTGACTTTCACAACAAGGCATACATGTATTCCGAAATCTTAATGTGCAGTATCATAGGAACTACCCTTTATTGCATGCCAGGAGCTCAGTTGAGGGAGAGCGTTTTAACATCTGTGAAGTGGTGCAGGATATATCTCCAACGGTTGATAGCGCAACTGGTCGTTGTGAGGCAACGGTCCCTCCTACAGAATTTAAGAGAACACAAGTTTAATACGAAAATTTCAATTCAATTCAAAATGATTTGGGGTTGTTTTACACAGCTTAGATGTCAAATCAAATTATTCTAAAGAGTTTCAGCCAAAGTTGAAAGAAAAAGAGAGCAGTCACTCAAAACAGGGAAAGCAAAAGAAAAAGAAACGGTACCTCTTCCAAGTTTATCTGGAATGGCTTCACAAAATCTTCAAACATTACAGGAGACAGCTCCTTCATCATCTCTTCAACTTCCTGGAAAATTTAACAGCACAAGCTGCTTAGAGAAGTGCATATCGGAGATGGATAACGATTGAGCTAAAGAGGAAAAAATCTCTAATTATTTGTTACACATTCGATGTTAGGCCATAACCAATTCTTAAGCCTCCAGAATTCTACAAAAATTTTGATGGGAGGGGTTTTATGGTCAAATTAATCCATAATGATTTCTCTGCTCCTTTTTTCCAGACTATTCGGACAAGTGGCAAGTGGCAACTCTCTCCTTTCCTCTTCCTTCCATCCTATTAACAAAGCAGACAAAAGGTAGGACGAGTCTTCTTCCTCACTTTGCTCCTTTCTCTCTACAGAAATATCTCAATTTGACATGAAATATTATTGGAGATTCCTCCTCTTAAAACCACAGAAAGAAACAACAATTTCTCTGAAATCAATTGCATTAAGGATAAAATAAAAGAGTTGGGATGTCTTAGCGTACCAATCCAGTTATCCTCGACTTTTCTAATAGTTCCTTTGCAATCATGTCCAGTATGTGCCTGTTGTCTCTTAAAGCATTTATTGCAAGTTCTTCTGTCTCTTCAATGTACTACAACCAACATCATATACCGCAAGTTGAAGTAAGATTTAAATAGTAATTACAAGGCAAACCAGATTCCATGATAAAACTAGATGAAATATCTGTTTATTTTTTCTCAAAATTAGGTTTACTGTAATAATTTGGGGGGAAAAAGTCTAAAATAACTTAAAAGATAAAAATAAAATTAAGGAGGCATGTATTTCGATGATTTTATTTACTTACATCTGTGACCATACAAGGAATAGAAAATTGCTCAAGACACCAACACAAATCACACAGTAATTATGGCCAAGGGTGTACCTAGCAGAGATAATTCTTCATAGGTATATTCTTTAAATAAGGTAACAGGTTTGGCGCCATACATATGAGGGTATAAATCACTCGTCAACGGAGAAGGGTCTCAAAAGGAATACGTAGATACAAGTAAGAAAATAATGTCTTCTAAGAATTATCAGTCACTGCAAGTTGATCATATTTTCCGAAAAGCATACTACTTCAAGATAAATGTTTGTGGATGCTTTTATGTGCAAAATTTGTTGCAATGTAACATTTCAAGCAGCCCTGGCTTTCAATTTGGGCTCCAAATTATAATGTACAGGGAAATTGTTTGATCAATTCCACCAATGACTATGGGTGCGTTTGTTTTAGTATTTTGGATAGTATTTTTGAAAAAGTAAGCACTGAGTGGTAATAACGAGGTAGGATTTGAAAATTAACAAAAACACTCATCTAGGTTTGTTAATTTCTAAACACCCCTGTAATAAAAACATTGAAAATTACAAAGACATCCCCACCCATCCATTAAATATCGGCAACCAGCCACCACTGTCGAAGGGTGGCCGGAGTCACTGTATTGACGCAGGACCGGCTGGATTTGGCCGGTCGTGCGTCGAGATGACCTTTTTCGGATAGATCCACAGTGGATCTAGCCAGAAAAAGCTAGATCTATGGCTAGATCTAGTCATTGACAGCTAGATCTGGTCGCATTTGGTCGCCAACAACAGCCAAAGATATGGTCGTCGTTGACAACTAACTACAGCTAAAGATTTGGTCATCAACACTCAAATCTTTGGCCATAGATCTGGCCTTTTTCGGCTAGATCCATGGTGGATCTGACCGAAAAAGGCTAGATCGACGCACTATCGACCAGATCCAGCCAGTAGTGCGCCATTATATTAGATTTTAGCCACCTTCCGATGGTGGTAGTCGGAATCTAGCACATGTGGGTGGATGGGGGTGTTTTTGTCAATTTCTAAACTTTTTTTTTAGGGGGTGTTTAGTTAAATTAACAAACTTAGGGGGTTTAAAAATAATTGAATAAAATATAATAGTATTTTCAGAATAAGAAAACAAATGTGTATTTTGAAAATGATAAGAATAGGATAAGGGAAAAGTAGGGAAACAGACACACCCTATATGCTTCCATTTCATGAGAAATACATAACAACAAAGCAATTATATGTATCATGCTACATTTCTCTAGAAAATAATATAATAGATTGACTTTATGCAGGCGCCACCATCTATTAATGTCTCAATTACAAGTAATACTACAGTCACCGACGGTAGTGCACCGAATTTGTACACCGAATAACGTGACAAAATCCTAACCGTTGATTAATATTAAGTTAAAATTAATCAATGGTTAGGGTTTTGCCACGTCATTCAGTGCACAAATTCGGTGCACTACCGTCGGTGGCTGTATTATTTTCCTGAATTACACAACCTACAATTGCAAGATCAAAAGTAGCGTATGCTTACCCTTGTCAACTCTCGAGTGAATAGCTCAGACAATTCAGGTGTCATGTTGGCAGGTATGACGTGGGGATCATCCCACTAAAAAGATAAGGACAACAAAAAGAAGAATCAGTTGATTAGACACATTACGTTGAAGAAAAAGATTATTATAAATGAGACAATAAGCATATTTCTCAATTACTTGCAACTTGAAATATCAAGGAATAATACCCTATATTTTATTAATTCTCCATCTGAACTATCAGGTCGATCCAACAGTCCAACTCTTTTTGTTAAAGCAGCAAGCCCCAACCTAGCATTTTGTGGACTGATCACCATCTCTCTAGCAATCTAAGAGAAAACTTAAATAAGAAAATAGACAGGGAAAAATATAATATAAATGAAGATATATCTGTTGTACAGTACTTCAGTAACCTTTGTTATCTTTTCTATATCATCCTTTCCTCCATCAGTTATGTCTTCACCGAACACAACACGTTCCGCACAGCACCCACCATGAGCTACCACCATTTGCATTTTCATGTAGCCAAAGGTTGTATAACCTTGGTCTATCATGTCTTCACGGGGGTAGAACACTGATATTGCAGTTTCCTGCTAATGTTGAGAGAAAAAAGCAAATCAGTAAGGCATTTAACAAAAGGAATTTCTGTAACCATGAAGTGTACCTTGCCACCAGGCAGGAGCTGAGAAAAAGCATGCCAATCAAATCGAGGAAACAAGTGAGCTAATA